CACAGCGCCTGGCCCGCAGACAGTGCCCGGCCACGGAGCCACTAGGCACTCCCGGCCACGGAAGGGTTTCTGTGGGGACCCTCAGAACCTGTGCCCATGAATCTGTCCGTTCAACTGCCCTTCTTAAAATATATATATATACACACACACATACATATATGTTTTTATTGATTTCAGAGAGGAAGGGAGAGGGAGAGAGAGAGAAACATCAACGATGAGAGAGAATCGTGGATCGGCTGCCTCCTGCACGCCCCACTCTGGGGTGAGGGCGGGGGAGGGCAGGGCCTGCAGGGGAGGGCGGGGCCTGGGCCGCCCACTGGATGCCGTGGGGTGTGTAGTGGCTTTCACTGGGCCGCCTTGTCTGCGTGCTCGACAGACCCTCCCAGAGGTTCTGCTCTGCATGCGGGGCCGTAGGCCGGCTGCTTTCGGGCCTCGTTGCCAGATGAGCATAAACAAATAGAGGATGGCCCGGCCGTGTGGCTCAGTGGTGGAGCGTCACGGTTCAATTCCCCGTCAGGGCACATGCCGGTTTCGGGCTTGACCCCCAGTAGGGAGCGTGCAGGAGGCAGCCGATCAATGGTTTTTCTCTCGTCAGTGATGTTTCTAACTCTCCTCCTCCCTTTCTTTCTGAAGTCAATTAAAAATAAAGTGCGGGATGCCCGGGAGAGGACTGCAGTATAAGTAGGCCCCAAATATTTCACCTGGCGGCCTGCTCAGGGGTGAGGAGGTGGAGTCCTCGGCACAGAAGGTTGCAGTTTGTTGCAGTTTGGCTGTTGCCAGACACACCTCTCCGGGCTGATCATTGACCGCGGGAGGTGTGTGCTTAACAGCTGACAGGCAGGGAGCCCCGGGAGGTCGGCCCCGGGTTGGGAGGAGCTGGGCACAGTGGCTCTGGGCGCCCCTAGGACTGCCCACCTGGTCCTGCCCACACCGCTGCCCAGCTTGGAGGCCCCCATCCCCTGCGGCCCCTGTCCAGTGGGGTATGCTGGCCCTGCCTGGGCGGGTGGGGGAGCCCTGGTCGGGGTGAGCCCAGCTCTCTAGGCCTCCAGCCCTCCCACTTTAGGAGATCCTTTGAGGCGCGGGGCCCCCCAACATAGCGGGAAGCAGAACACGGGCCCTGACTCTGATGTGGGGTGCTCCCCAAACCTCTCTGACTTCCATTTGGCTTTTGCTCCGGGGAGCTGGGGGGCAGGAGGGCACTCGGTCTCTAAGGGCGGGGTGTTCAGAGCGGGGGCGG